GTGGTCAACCTACTTAAAAGTTTTGATTCATTGTTTATTTTATTTATTTATTTTATTTTTTTTGAAAGAAAATAATATATGTTTATTCAGTAAGGACACATTAACCTGATCAAAAGGTGACCCAACAATATTTATCATGTCACAAAAGATTTGTTTCAGATAAATTATGTTCTTTTAAGCCTACTCATCAAATAATCCTGAAAAAGTAACGTTTTCCACAAAACATTTTTTTTTAATAATAATAAAACATTAAGCAGCGCAAATGTATTCAAGCATATTAGAATGATTTTTGAAGGATCATGTGACACTGAAGAGCCCGCTTTTCAGAGAAATAAAATCTATTAAATACATTTAATAATTATTAATTATTTAATCATTATTAAAACAGAACAGTTGTTTTAAACTGCACATTACAAAAATTACTGCTTTTGACTATATTTTTAAACATAAAAAAAAACAAAATAAAAATAAAAAATATATATATATAGTAAAAATGCAGTATTGTAGGTTTCCACATACACCATCTAATGTTTATTGCACACAAACCTAGCAAGAGCTTTCTGAAAACAAAAGCAAAGTCAAAGAGGAAGACTTCAAACCTAAATCTCGGGTGTCCTGAAGGCCATTTGAACTGATGTTTCTTGCGTAAATGGGCAGTGAGGTTATTCCCCCGGGTGAAGCACTGCTCACACACGTGACACTTATAGCGAGGAGTGTAATCTCCCTAAATGCAAAACAGCACATTAACGTTTTTAGCTATTCTGAAGCTATGAGCTGAAAAGGAGTGCAAATGTAATGATGCAGAATTGTATTCACTTTCTGACGAACATTAAGTTTTATTTTAATTGCTCACACTGTTCCAGACAATGTATTCTGCCTTTTTATTTTATACATTTATTGTGGATTTATTGTGTTGCTGGCTGTAATAGAGATTATCACTAGATTAGATAAATTATTTTTATAGATCAAACCTTGGACCTTATTACATTATTTCTTGTAATGATAAACAATTCTTACATCAATTACAGGCTAAAAAAAACAATCTCACAGAAATTACATTTTCCTGTTTACATTTGAAATCAGGAAAAAATGGTAAAACAACATTAACAGTTAATGTACTAATTTTATATATTACCATTTGCTTGACCTATTTTTTTATTTGCCATATTCATGTCCAAAAATAAAATAAAGTAAAATTTGCTATGTCTTACCAAACCTGACTTACATTATTCTGTGGTACACAAAAGAAGATATTTCATTATTTTATATTGATGTCTTCTTATTGGCTCCTAATATGTAGATATGAATGTAGCTGGCATTTTCTGACTGGCTCACCTCATGAATGCGCTTGTAGTGGTTCTTGATTGAGTAAAGCGAGCGAGTGGAGTAGTCACAATCTGCAAAGTCACATTGATACGCTGGCTCACTGCTGTGCGTGTCTAAATGCTTCCGCAGATCTATCAGGTTTTTACAGCTGAAAACCAGACAAACACAAACAATCTGACAGATCATGTTCTGACAAACAGGTCTGAAATGGCAGAATAAAAGATTAGAAATACCCAGGGGTTATGACTCACTGTCTTTGGCAATGCAGTGACCTCACCTGTACTCGCAGTAGTCACAGCTGTAAGGCTTCTCGTTGGAATGACGAAATTTGATGTGGTTTCTCAGCGAGGATGGTGATGGACAGGTCATATCACAAAGAGGACATTTATAATGGTTGACTTTGATCAGAGAACAGAGAAGAACATCATAAGGAAATAAAGTCTTCAATACAGCAGAACAAAGTACAACCATTATGACACTCAACATACAAAAAGACCCATACCATGGTTCCTCATGTGGTCTCTCAGCAGCCTCTCAGTGGCAAAACGCTTAGAGCAGTGAGAACACTGAAATCTTTGACCTACAGTCACAATCGCACACAAACAAATGGGTGCAATGAGCCATACTAATCAATCTAATCTTTTTTTTTTTTTTGGTATGTTCAACAAAAGAATTCAAAGTCTCAAATTTGTTCAATACAGAAGGTTTTCAGATTCTGTTATTGCGGTTTCTGCATGTGTACAAACTCAAACACAACCCCCTCACATTCTATGGAGGTTTGCCGTCGAATGTGGTCAAAGAACTTTGTGTTGTTGGCAAACATTCCTCCACAGGTCGGACATGCCACCAGCTTTTCCTGTGTGTGGCTACGCATGTGCTCTCGCAACTTAAACCTGCCCTTGAAAGAGGCCTCGCAGTCTAGAAATAAGGAAAAGTTAACATTTAAAAAATGTGCAGATCTTTAAAAATCATTACGAGCAAAGAAAGCTTTCAGGAATATTCAAATAACTACGATGCTTAATATCTTCTACCATGGGGTTCACTCTTATAGGTTGTACAAATAAGGTCCAGAACAGACAAAACGGACAAATATTAAATTTTAGCATTAACACAAGGTAGCAGTCTGGACATTATGAAGTATAATAACTGATTATTCTATTCTTTATGATTCTGTGTTTATTTCTTAACTGACTTGCTGCATCTAATGAATGAAGTGGTTCTCGACCAGGTGCCAAAAACTACTAGAGTGCCATTTTTAAAAACATTAAAAAGCTACAATCATTTATTTTAGATTTGTTTTTGTTTTTTTGTTGAAGAGTTGGGGTTCCCAGTGAATATATAAGGTAGCCTATTTTTAAATGTGTGATCTCTGGATCTGGAAAAGTCATATTATAATGAACACACATTTTTATATTTATGCTTAGCTCTAACACATTTCATCAGGTAGAAATTGTAAAATTTGTATTTTTTTTTTAATCCTTACCATTAATGCTTCTCCACTAAATTACAAATAACTAGAAAAATCATAGGGCTTTCAAATATTGTTGTGGACAATGGAGGGGCCTTGAAGTTGTTTCTTACCTTTCCAGCCACAGAACAACACATTCTCTTCATTAGCCTCGAGACAATGGGCATGCATCTCCACATGTCTGTAGAACCACTCCGGATTATCCATAGACATCTGAATACAAATACGCTTATCAGCTGAGCACTTTATTTTGAAAGCACTGCCAAACACAATACATATAATTGAATAAAAACTCTTCCACTTATTCTTCACACCTCAATAAACTTGATTTGACAAGCCACATACAGTAACACTTGGGATTGCTTCCATACCTCACAGTGCTCCCAAAGACAAAGGAAGTTCTCTTGGACCTCAGGCACAATGTTGCGGTTATGGAGGCCGACCGAACAGGCACCCATGTCACTGTGGCCCTTGAGTATAGCAAGACCCCATTGCTTCAACTTGGTGTGGTAGCAATGAAAGAACATGTGTCTGAGAAGCTCTGCATTTCCTTCCACTGAGCAGAAGCCACAGTCTCTCCACAGACAGTTATGCTCCTCTTCTGTAAAACATGCAGGCAAGCCAAGTATTGATTATGGACCAGACCAATGGAGTCAGCGCCACAGGGACTCTGACTGCCAGAAACCTTGAGCTGAGACGCCTGCCATGGCTCAAAGTCAACACTCAACAATCCTCCACCGATGTAACATTAATACAGACAGTTGAACAATGCATAAAAATGTGCCAGTGCCAGTTGGTGGAACGTAGAATAGATGAAGAAATAAGAAATGTTATGCGTTACTAGCACAACCCCAGCACTAATAGTCCCCTTTAAAACACATTATACCAGAACTGATAAGCTATTGTTTATATTGTCATTTATTTTGCAATGTATGGTATGTTTATTCTTAGAATTGAATCTTTACTAATTTTTACGCAATAACTTTACATCTCACAATTGCAACAAGAGGAGACTTTCAATCTAAAGTATTATTTATATTGAGAAGTTTTATATTTTGAATTAGCTTTTATTTTCAGTTTCAGTTTTCATTTTAATTTTAGTTTCATTATACAAGTTTTTATTTACAAAATCGTTAGAAAGTCATTAGAACTAGTCCATATGACTCATACGCAGTGTGAGACATCCATAGTCACCTTTCATTTTCAATGCATGCAACAGATATTCTTCAAAATGTTTCCTATTGTGTTCCATAAAAAAAGTTGGAACAATATGATGTTAAATAAATGATGAGAAAGTTCATTTTTGAGTGAACTATCCCTTTAAGACAAGAAAGATAAGTAAAGAAATGCTTCCATTACAAGACACTTCCATCAACACGGACACCTGACACTTTCAAAGGGTGGAAGCACCTGGTAAGTCTGTCTCACTGTCCACGGTAGCTTTATAATGTTTCTCCACGTGCTGGCAAAACTCCTGCATCCTGTCAAACGTCTCCTGACACGAGCCCCACTCACACGCCAGCTCCAGCTGCAGCTCCTCTCTGCGCAGGGCGCGTTTACCCGACGGCGGCATCCTGCAGCACTGAATGTAAAGCACAATGTGTGGTCCTCGCGTCTTCTGAAACACATGCTAAAGTCACATGCGAGATCTAACATGACTGTAAGTTTGTTCTGCACACCGCAGCTCGAGCTATCTGTCCATAGCTGCCAGTTTGTTTTTAAAGGCGATAAACAACCACATTCACACTATGAACTGCGCCAAAATGATTACCTCCGACATATTAAAACTTCTTAATTACCAAATGTACAGCTAGTAGTTTTATTAAATCATAGACGACGTTGTTACCTAGTATGACACATAGATGGTTAGCAAAACAAAAAGCCAAGTTAACATTCTGCCTCCATTTTGTTGACTAGTGGCTTCGGTTGAGAATAATTGAATGTGTTTTCATTCAAGGATATTTCAATTAAATTCAAGTTTATTTGTACAGCGCTTTTCACGATACAAATCGTTGCAAAACAACTTTACAGCAAATTAAGTTAATACAATATGTAGTGGTAGCTTATCAGTGGTGACTGTCAGTTAATGTACATATGGCAGAAATGTACGGAAAAATCAATTCAAGACGTAATCAAACAGACGATGAACACCATTTCGTGAGGGAATGCGTCTGCAGTTGTTTAAAAATGTTGATAAATAACTCACCTTTTGCAAATACTTCATCAAACATTTCCTTACTTTTTTCCCATGAAATAACCAAACCAATCAGAATTCACCTTTGCGGCGTCGCGTTCAAATCTCAGCCAATCAAATTGCAGCCTAGCAGTACATCACAATTATCATTCCCTCCAACACCTAAACTCAAGTGTTCCGCAGCTCGATTTGCACTTTGTATTCAGTGTCTTACAACCCTAGTCTATTTGCTGTATGGCACTACTTTATGTAAATCTGCTTTGGAATTGCACCGAAATTATTGTGCTATATTAATAAATCTCAAGAAAGCGAAACACATTTTTCTAATACACAGGAAAGCGCGCGAGAGAGTATAAACTGTGATATCAAGTAATTGTTTTCCAGATAATATTTTAACAATTTGCTATCATTTTAGTACAATTACAAATAAAAAAAAAACATTTAATTTTGCAAACATAATGTTCTTATTAAAAGACTACACACTTACTATGGTCACAGTATAAACGGGTTGCTATATATTAAACTTAACAGCTGCCTTTGTATTTGTAGGAAAGGGACCACCACATTTGAGAGTCCTTGGCATATAATAATAACCTGTAAAACCCTCACGCTAAATAATTGAAAAATGAGTTCTTTGTATTAGTATTAATGTTTGGGTTATGTTTGATTTTTGGTCTGAAAACTGCATGAGAACAATATAAATATAAAACATATAAAATATACAACAATTGATCTATAAAACAGTATAAATATAGAGCACTTTTTCCTTTCCGGAAGCTAGTATGGTCCATTGTCACATTGGTTTATTTAAATCAGTCAAAGGCATAATATTAGATTTGTCACACACACACACACACACACACACACAAATACAACTGCATATATCAAGTAATCTTTCAGAAATGTTCTCAGAAATTTCAAACTCCCTAAAATATTCCTGAATGTAACTGTTTTCCATAATCTTTCAAAATAGAACCCTCTTTTCAGGTCAACCAAAATAATTAGATATCCTTACGCAGACATTGTTCATTATCTACAGAGCTTTCATGTCCCAATGACAGTTAAGGGCATATGTGTACACTGTCCCATCTCATGCAGATATATAGACAGAGAAGCTGGAATACAGTGTGTAGTATCAAGATTCCATACTTTATAGAGGACAGGCAGTATAGTTATCATTCTTACAACAATCAGTTTTGTTTCAGTTTTGTTTGTTCTTCAAATGAAAGCAGCAGGTTGTAAAGTCTCTCAGGAGCTTGAGTGGTCTAGATGTCGTAGAACAGACGCACAAGATGATACCGGATTCCAAATGCCACGGCACTCCCCGAGACCTGAGAAAGAAATATTTATTATCTCAAACCACCAAAACATCAGTTTCTTTTGAAGAATTTACACAGTCTTTGAAAACCTGCATTCATGAGGTAGCCTGATTTTGAAAATGTGATTTATACACATGGAAAAGGCATGTAAATTAATCAAATCTTAAATTTGATTAAAGGCATGCCAAGCTTTCCCGTGTCAGACTGTAACCTGCATTAATCAGTTTTAGAGGTCAAGCTCTCATCTCACAACCATCTCATAACCAAAGAGTTTAACACTTTAAATGCCCACATATTAAATGAACTTTCAATGACTGTCAAAATAAATTCTACTGCAAATAAAAAGGAATCTTTGTTATAGCTTGATTTTAAAATGTTAGTGTAATAACCCACCTAGGCAGACGATGTCTGGGACAGGGAATAATGTGAAACAGCTGAGGCAAAGAGTAAATGAAGTTGATGATTTGGGGGATGAAGAAAAGCAGCATGGTCTTACTGAAGTGGCCGAGTATCCCAACCACTGCAAACGTCATTCCAGCAAAGTAACAGAAAGTGTCTCCCACAAACACAGAGGAAGGGTACCTGATAAAAGATATTCAAAGGTTTATTATAGGTTCAAAAATAGGAGTGGTTGAGGTTAAGATTATTATCAGTGCTGATTGTCAAACTTCAGTTCAGCATTTTAATGGGCCGTCTTAAACTAAAGTAAGTAAAGATGATCAAAAAGCAATATATTTAACAAACCAGTTGTGGTAGAAGAGGGCTAATGTGGTGAAAAAAAAGGGAATCATGAAGTACAAAGAGAAAACATGGTCATCCCTGTAGTCTCCTGAAAGAGAAACATTAATCAAAGATCAATTGAACAATATAAATTAGAGAATATATCTACAGACCTACTCAAATAAAAATCAAGCAATGTCAGAGAGGTTTAAACAAATTAAGTATAATGTGACACTGAAGACTGGAGTAATGACTTCTGAGAGTTGAGTTTTGCCATCACAGGAATAAATTACATTCAAAATATATATAAAAAAAAAAAAACAGTTATTTCACAATAGTACTGTTTTACTGTTTTTAACTGATCAAATAAATACACCCTTTGTGACCATAACAGACTTGTTTCAAAAACATAAAAATATTATTTTAAACTTTTGAACAGTAGTGTATATATAAATGGTATAAATTATGCATGTGGAAAGCAGGTGGAAAATTTGATCAAACAGGTTGAATAGAAACCCTCTGCTCACCATTGAGTTCCAGTATATTAAAGAGGATGATGGAGCCAGATATGAAGAGAGCTTGCCCAGACTCAATGCCATTGATACCAGCCAAGATGTTGATGGCATTTGTGCAGAATACAGCCAGCATTCCCATATATACATAATACAGAATGCCTGAAACACATTGTATAAAAATGCTGAGAATAGCGACAATCATACTGCACATATCAAACAAGAGGGCAATACAATCAAATCTAGAGCACCAGACATTTAAGCAGACTGTCAAACTCACCCAAGTCCAGATGCATCCCCAGCAGGACACGGAAAGGTTTGGGCACGACGATGAGAGTGTTGCCAAAGTTAGTGAAGTAGACCATGAGTAGAGGCAGGGAGGCCATAGTGGGCAGCAGCAGCTTGTGTCTCCATCGCAGATTCAGAACATCATCAGCAAAGCCCAGGAATATCATGCAGCAGATGGCCAACAAAGCACCAATCAGCTGCACAAACTACATGGACATATGCACAAATGCCATAGTTATGACTGATATTTTTATATTACATTATTTCATATTTATATTATTTATATTGATATTTTATATATATATATATATATATATTTTTTTTTTTTTTTTGTTTGTTTGTTTTTTTAAAGAAATGATTTTATTGAGTAAGGGCAGCTTTGCCATTACACAAATTACATTTTATTTTATTTTTAAGTTAAAATAGAAAACACTTATTTTATAATAGTATTTTACGATACATATTAATGTTTTACTTTATGCTAACTTTTATTTTGGATGCAATTAATCGCGATTAATCATCGCCCAGCACTACTTAAAATATAATTTATTCCTGTGATCAGTGACAGTCTTGAGTGTCACATGATCCTTCAGAATAAAATGATATACTATAATATTCATAATATACTGATTTGCTGCTCAAGAAACATTTCTTATTATCAATGTTGAAACAATTGTGATGATTAATATTTTTTGACATGATATTTTAAGCTTTTGTAACATAAATGTCTCTATTGTCACTTTTCATTTAATGCCACTTTAATTTAAGTTCCTTAAAGAAACTGAACCCAAACAGAACAGTAGTGTAAGTGGTGAATTCTTGAAATGTGTTTATTGTTTTATCATTAAGGGATGATTAACTCACCTCGTTGTGAGGGAACCGTTGACACTGCTCTCCCATAAAGCACTGGAGGAAGGGGACAGGGATGAAGAGGAAGAGAATTATGAGGAAGACTGTGCCACTGATTACACCTTGCGATTCAGGCCTGGTTAATAAGGAAAAGAGAAAGGAGTTAAATTCAGGTTCCAAACATCAAATTGCAATTCATATGTTTGATGTAAAAATCAACCACGTACACCTCTTTCTTTATGGCTTTATTTAGGTCCATGCCATAGAGTCTGGCAGATATGAAATGATCCTTAAAAGCAGGAATCAGTTTGATTGTTGCAATGCACCCAAGTGCAGACATACAACAGTTGATGATAAGAGGAAGAGCAGGAACTGGAGACATCTTCTCCATGGACTAACACGACATAAAAATACAATATACGGTATCTACTGTACTATATATCAGTTATATGTGGATAAATCTAATTGAAAACAGCGTTCGATTCCTGTCAGCAACATTTAAAACTTTTGTGTTGCATATCCATAGTGGAGCTGTCATTGGCTTAAGTTTCTTCGAGGCTGACAAAAATTGGATTACATTTCAAATGCAGCTACAGACCACATGACTGTAGACATCGCTGAATGAAATCGCGTGCATAAATGACAATTTGCTTGTTTTCTAATCGACCGAACCGTTTTTATACAAAAGTACCGAATCAATGAAGGGCAGTTCATTGGCTTTATGATGACAGCTAGATTTTCATAAGCTCGGGTAAATTACAGTCAAGCGATAAAAAGAATCCTGGCCAAATAAGCACCGGTTCAGGTTATGAGTTACTAGTTACTCGTAAGCTTCTTTGACGTCAAAATGAGATAGATGTATCAGTTTACTGTATAGGTTTGGCTCTGATCTCATCACAAACTCCACGTCTACTTCCGTCAACATAATCCGACCGCTGACTGGGTATATTAAACAACCTGCTTATTATACTCTCATAAACTGTTGGTACGACAGTAAAAGCTTCGAAGCGTAATACTGCTAAACACGCGGTAGTGATCAGGTAGGTCTTTTATCAGAGAAATACGTAAATATATTTGCTATCATCTTGTTTGCAGTCGAACCTTTGCACAGACGTAACACAACCGGAAACAAAATTAATAGTACGTTAAAGGTCTCATTTTCAGTGTAGAAACCATAGACTTCAAAAGGTAGAAACATCCTGATTCTGTCGCTCAAATTAACAATTACGTTACTCTTACAATTTACAATTACTCTAATTTTTTAGAAATACCAAATGACAACAACATTAAGTCGTGTTATTATTATTACTATTATTTGTCTTTTTAAAAATATTCTTTTTAACATAGCCATACATTTTAATATTTGCCTTAAAAATGGTATTAAGCTCATACATCTTAGTTAAGGAATAAAGGCTGAAAAATGCAATGCTGTAATCTTATATTTGATTAAACATGTATTACAAGAACTCAGACAAGACATTGGAACAGGGATATGACATTTATGCTCACTCTCTTATAATATCATATAATAACCCTATGTTTTTTACAACAGTGAACACAAGTGATTTACAAGCATAAAGACAATACACAAAATATTATAAGATGGTTACAAAACATGAAAATGAATACATTACAATACAATGAAATAAATTCAAGCATATTAAAACAATAATATATTATTATATGTGTGTATATATAATATATTATATGATTGTAGTTAAGTAAGTATTTTATAAAATTATATATTTTTAATACAATTTTATAAGTATTACATATAGAAGATTATTACAAGCTGACTTTGAATTTTTTTAAGAATACAAATATGTATCTATATATCACCATCTTTCTTGAAAATATAAATAATTGAATATATATTATATATTTATCAAATGTGTTTATATTCATATTATGTTTGAAAATGTACATTATGAATGTAAAATTTTGCTAGAATATTAATAAAATAATACTAATGTAATATGAAGAGAGTAACCAAAGAACACAATTTTGGCTAATACAGAAGTTGGCTAATATAGAAGTAGAAACATTAGCCCAAAACGCAAAATAAATGGATACTTGTATCATAAAAGTGATGACAAATGGAACATAACATTCTTATGTTTATGACATAATGTGAATCCTCATAAACATCAGCGACAGCGAGTGCGCTTTGTGGCGCGCACCGCGCAGGCAGTGAATGTGCGCACTGCGCATGCGCAGTTTCGGCAGCTCAAGCGGGTGTGCGTGTCTCTTTAAATACGTGCAGCGCGTACGCGGTGTGTGTTTGTGTTGCTACACTATTTGACAGCTCGACTGTTCTGTTCCTGCGCATTGCCATTACAGACCATCCGACACCGTCGGTGGGAGGGGGCACATTTTCTCTTGAGTTGACAGCGCAGGATATTATAAATGTGTGGTTTTATGTAGCACGCTAAAGATTCACGAAACGGAGGCCATGTACCGATCAACTCAGGTTTGATCGTAGAAGATGCTCGGACCTGAAGACTGGTGCTGAAATTACGAAGACATGATGTAGCCATTGAGCTGGTGATCTGTAGCTAGTCAGCGTCCAAAGACGGTGTTTCTCGTCTGATCGGTAATATTTCCTTTCTGTTTTTTTTGTTAAATACTGGATATACATTCGGCGTCATATATGCGCGTCCAGCATTTTTGTTCACTGTAGGCTCGTTCCGAGTCAGTTGCCCAAAAATGCTGTCTAGTTAGGCAGCTCACTAGGCTTTGAAACACAGCTTTTCGAATGATGACCAGTGAGGGAGACGTAAACATGCATAATTTGATATGAACGCCATTATTGCATACAAGCTTAGATTAGCTGTCAAGAAGAAGGGAATTGAAATGAATCGCTAGATGGGTCATGATGAGCTATTTCGACGTTGCAGTGCTGCACTGACCCAGAACACCCTGGACTGTAAGTAATGTGACAGAATCGGAACGGGTTTGTATGAGACAGGCTTCACACAGGACTAGACTCTGCAACCGATCTGAGTTTTCTGGAAGAAGTTGTGCACTTCTCCGGTTTCAGGACATGCATTCAATGTCACACTTTCACCGAAATGCTTAGTCAGTTTGCTTGACTGCTTAAACTTTTAAGCACAGGTGATAATACTAACACGAAACATTGTAAATCTCTTTGATAAGAACACGTCTTTGCAACCTTTGCAAAAAGGTTACTATGGTAACCTTAGTTTGGGAGCAAATGGTTAAAGTAGTAACTACAGTCATTATTGTGCAATAAAATTAGACCACTGTCGTGTGTGTGTGTGTGTGTGTGTGTGCATATGCATATACACATACATATACATACGGTGTGTGTGTGTGTGTGTGTGTGTACATGCATACATACACATACATATACATACGTTTTTTACGATTTTACAGCACAGTAAACAAATACAGCAGCAATAAGTGTGGTGTTATGAAATAAATACCATAATTTTTAGGTAAGCTGGCCTTACTTCTGAATTGTTTGGTAGGAAAACATTTGCCAAGTATATTATATATATGTAAATAGTAAAGAAACCATAGCTGATTTTCATGAATCTGACCTCTTGTTAAAAGTACAGTTCACCAAAAAAATGTACATTTTGTCATTATTTTCACCCTTATGTTGTTCCAAACACATATGACTTTCTTTTTTCCTTGGAACATAAAAAGAGAACAGCAATCAAGAGAGGGGCTATTCACACAGAATACGTTTTTGCATTCAACTTTGCATTGTTTTTCTATTTAATCATGCACTAGATGCACATATTTGACAATAGCGAGAGGTGCTCAAGTTAAAAAGAAAAGTTCACATTTTTCTTGAGACCTTGCCTTTTTTTCTTTCCACTGCTCTGTGTCTCTACGTGAACCATCCCTGCTATCAGTGACTCCCAAACATGCTCTCTAACATCTCTTTTTGTAAAAGAAAAAAAGATCTTAGGGGCTGTTCACAAACACATTTTTGCGTTCCACTGTGTTTTCCTTTTCGGTTGTTTTTCTACATTAACATGCTAAACGGACGTGCTCATGTCTCGTGTCTTTTTACAGTATCTCATGCATGATGGCATGATAAAAACGCATCTCTGGACCTTGTGTTTTTACTGTCTCCCCTGTCTCGCGTTTCGCATTTTTAAAAGCAAGAAGCATTCTGTATGAATGGCCCCTTACAGGTTCGGAACAACATGAAGTTGACTCAAGAATTTTCAACTGTCCCTTTAAGATCTCACTGTTCCTATAAGATGTTGTTAACATGTTTTGTCTTTGCTGCATGGCTGTATATCCCTTCATCCTGTCTTTTTCCACTCGACTTACTCTCTGTCTCTCTCTCCCTTTCCCCAGAGTTCCAACCTTCGTGAGTCAAGATTTTCAACCTTTCATAAACATGAGACTTAAGTGAACAGTGATTAGGGAGATGACGACTTTCCAGGACGTGAGCTGGCTGGTTCAGGTGGCGCTCTTCTGCGCCTCGCTGCTGGTCGTATTAGCCTGGCTCGTTCAGTTCTCACTGGCGTTGCTTCGCCCTAGGTGGTGCACGAGGGTCCAGGGCAAGAGGGAGACCCCGTGGCAGCTGCCCTTGAGTCTCACCCACCAGACACTGACGGGCGGCGTGTGGGGTTCCCTCCTGAGGCTGAGGCTGGGGCGAGACGGGGCAGGGAGTGACACTGAAGCGGGCGTCAAAGGTCTTTTGTCCTCGCTTTTTGTGTTCAAGTCGTTCAGGGAGCACTGGCAGAGAGCCTGGGTCCGGGCGCTCAACGAACAGGCCTGCAGGCAAGGGGTAGTACGATCTGGAGCAAAATTCAATTTGTTTTGAGACAATACGGTGTAGAAACATATGTAGGAGGGTTTGTATATACATACGCATGTGTTTTCTTTGCTCCATGCATGTTTATACGTGTGTAAGAGTATTTTTAGGCTATGCGAGTGTGTGTGGGCATAATATCATGGCCTGGCTACTTGTTAGTGAATGTGTGGGTGTGAGAGTGTCAGGGGACGCAGGTTCTTGTGTAACAACCACACGCTTTCTCTCTTCTCCCAGAAAATCTGCTCTGCAGTGAGTATTACACATGACAGGCCTCAGTCCTCTGGGGTTTCTCTCATGGAAGCAAATTTGCACTTTTTTTTCCTTAGCTAATCAGTGTAAATTAGAGTATTTGTCTTAAACGCCAAGATTTTGCTGAAAATGTGACACACTTATTGCCTACGTGCACTGGTTTTATATTGAAGATGCGTACTTTCACATGATACCTGTTAAATTGACAGATTACTTTTTCCGGCAACTGTCTGTTATTCTTACATACATTTAATATTAGCTGTATGCATGTTTTTATCCATATTGCTAACATTAAACGGTTAGTTCACCCAAAAATGAAAATTAGCCCATGTTTTACTCCAAGGCATCCTAGGTGTATATGACTTTCTTCTTTCAGACGAATCAAATCGGAGTTATATTAAAAATTGTCCTTGCTCTTCCAAGCTTTATAATGGCATGGGCGGGTGTTTTTGTTCAACAGTCCAAAAGTAGTCAAATAAAGCGCATCCATCCATATTAAAACATGCCTCACACGGCTCCGGGGGGTGAATAAAGGCCTCCTGTAGCGAATCGATGCGTTTTTGTAAAAAAAAAAAAAAAAAATCCATATAATATCCATACAAATG